GTGGACTCTAAACTCCCAAGACCCACTTTCATGCCCAACCCACGGATACTTCTTTAGGGTTTAGGGTTTGGGGTTTAGGGGTTTAGGGTTGCAACAAGCATATGGAATCACCCTACTATAGCTGCCATTATCCCGTGTGGTGACTATCAGCTACTAAGGGTATGTCTTTTTGGAAAGGATTCTTAGGACTCCCTCGTAAAGGTTCTGCATTCTAAGGTTGAGGTAAAATCTGACTTTCAATTCAGTGTACCTGAGCCCCCAAAAGTATGTAGAATAATTGCCTTTTGGGCTATATTTAGGGGTTTTGGGCTATTACTTTACCTACTTTGGGGGTCCAGGTAGGACCCACCCTCCCCACACAGTGGGGCAGTTTGCCAAACTCAGCTTGAGTGGACCTAGGGCCCAGCCAACGCACGTTAAAAAGCTGAAAGACGCTAAACCTCCCATTCGCACTGTGATTGACATCCCATGAGTCAACCCTAAGCCCTCACTTTTTGCTGGGATCCACAACTTTATGTCACGCACATTCTTATTCTGTAGAATTACGGCTGATACGATTATTCTTACAATTATCATTATATGTATGTGTACAACAGTGCACAAATGCTGGGAGTTCTAGGTGGTGTTGAGTAGCCTTGCGGTTGTGCAATGGCTATTAGTGATTGGGGGGAGCGCCCTCAAAACCTAGAGCCTTGACCATCAACCCTGAACCACCACGCCCCTAAACTCCCAAACCATGCTCCTGTCCGCAGAAGTCCGTGCGCCGACGCTTCAAACATCCAGCGATGACTTCATCCGCACTAAGCCCTAGATACCTTGGGTCTAGGTATGAGGGTGCAGTGGAAGGACGTTCTAGCGGTCTAGGTTTGGGTTCAGAGTTCAGGATTTAGGGTTTAAAAAGGTTTGGGGTGTGTAATGTTTGTAGGGCCTAGGGTGATTAAACGCTTGAGGTATAATCATAGGCAGTTCCAATCCAAAATAGTAACGTGATTGAGGCCTAGATACTTCGGACATGAGAAGTTGATTGTTTAAAAAGGGGACCTTTGGAACCTTTTTGGAACACCTGCAGATGACACAGGATATAGGGGCCATCTATCACGGATCTTGTAGGCTGGGTTCAGACACCTGGGATCTAGGTTCACGGTCCAGAGCATAATGCGGCGCACCGGTGATGACAGTAATGATACTACTAATAAATACTGTATGCCTTAAAAGTCGTGAATGCCTCTCTCAGTGGGCGGTTTCACCACACTTAGTAAACATCCTTTATTTGTAGCATATGGTAGGTTGTCCAAATTGCGGTGCCTTTTGGGGCCCCCATTTTTGTACAGTCCCTACAATTTGGGGTACTTCAACCATGACCATGCCTTTGACAACGCCCTATATACAGTCCCCTAAGTCTGCAAAACTCTCACTTACGTATAACGGAGGAGGATACTGGGGCTTACAAGGATTGTTCGGGAGCTGTGCGGGGTGGGGTACATAGCTTGGAAAGAAATGTCTACTATGCTGAGAAGTATCCGGTGAGGCAACATTGCAGTAGTGAATGCGGCTTGTACGCAAGTTCTTTACAGGCCGCCAGCTTTTGAAAGCCACTATATTGCTCGTTTGCCGTTTGCCCATGCAGCTTCCAGCGGATATGAGAAATGGAGCCCCGGCACATCCTACAAGCCTTTCAGCAGTACGCATACTTTGTGATAAGTGTCCGACATTTTGCGGGGGATGAGGTACTGGGGCACTCGTAACTTTCATTAACAGACCTATTCCAAATTACTCCTCAAATGTGGCACAGCAAGAACAACTTATAGCTACTTGTACACACAAGCCAGCGGTAAGATTTGGGGATACGAGTCGCATTTAACAAAACCATCCATGAAGCCGTAGCATCCAAACTCTAAGAACTGACCCCTCAACCTGCTACTCCATAGAACCTATACTGGCAGGGTAACTTTGCTTCGCTAGAAGCTAGAAAGTTCAGGGCTTACCCTTCACTGAAGGGTCTTTAGCATTTGGGGGCTGTTCTCCTCGTGAAGCTTCTGTGAGGATTCCTGTTTGTCCTTACTCCTGCGGAATGCCTCAAAACCAAAAGCCCTACCTGGACCCCAAAGGTATGGAAAACACTTGCCTTTATGGCTATTATTAAGGGTTTAAGGCTATGATTTTACATACTTTTGGGGTTTAGGTAAACCTAAATCTTCAACGCCTTGCGGCCCTAAACTCTATGTAAACCTGACACCCTGAATGCCAGAAGCTCTATAAACTCTAAACCCTAAACCGTGTGAACCGGAATCCCAGATGCATAGCAATCTTGTCTGTGGGAATTCCATCTTTGCCTCGAAGGGCAGAGCTTCTGCAGGGGTAGGCTGAGGTTTAGGGTTTAGGGTTTAGGGTCTAGGGATTTAGGGTTCAGGGATTAGGGTTTAGGGTTTAGGGCTTAGGGTTTAGGGTTTAGGGATATGGATATTGCTACTTCTGCTACTAATGGCCTATGTCACATGCCATCTTAGAGTTGTCAGCATCAACACACTATTCGGGAAACATAGGACGAAAGGTTGAAGGCAGGAGGTTAGGGTAAAAACGTTCAGGGGAAATGAGTAGCTAAGCCGTGCGTCTCATGCTGCATATCGCTCGTATCTCCTTGTCCCCGAGTTCGTCGGTCGCGCGCCTCTTCGAAGGGGCCTCAATGAATATCAACGGTCCTACTTGATATGAATGGATGTGGGGATGAATACCTTTGAAAGGAATATGGAAAACTAGTCAGGCTTCAGCAATAACACTAGACCTTATGCAACTCCTTCAGGATCACAAGCAGAGTCAATGAAGGAAATCATGCATCACTCTCAGATCCCTGACTTTGCAGAAGAAGGATAAAAGTATGTGGGGTCTACATTGGGGTCTCCCTATCCATGGCAACTATCAAGTAAACTCTGACTTCCTCCTATGGTTCCGACGCTACAGAAGACAATTAACCTTCTGTTGGCGGCTGGCAACTGCTCAAAAACCTTCTGCGAACTCAAAGCCCTAAAACCTGAACCATACACCCCAAGTACCGCCCTACTTATCACCTAGGTGAGCGTAGGGGTCAGAGATTAGGGGTTAAGACATCGGCTTCAAGGTTTAGCGAGTATAGGGTGTGGCCGTCACTCTGAGGTCCTGCTGGTAATTAATTGGTGAGAATTCAACAAACCTGGCATGCAGAGACTTTGACTTCCCCCTGCGGATCGCAGTCAACCTTCTGGTGGTGGGTTATAATTGTTCTAAATGCCCATGGACCTCCAGCGGGCTTGAAATCCTAAACCCCGAACCAATAACTTCAAGTACCTCCCTGCTTCTCACGAAAATGAGGCAAAGGTGAGATTAGGGTTCAAGAGTTCGAAACATCGGCGTCACTCTGAGGCCCTGCTGGTAATTAGTGAGAATTCAGCAAACCTGGCATGCCCATTCCATGCAACGGAAACGACATCCACAACCCTAAGCCCACCTTTGCCATCTCAACTCCTGCGGTCAAAGGCACTGTCTCCGAAGACATGGTGCCAGCGTTCCGTCCGCAACCGAAATACAAGAAATCTTACAGCCTCCCTCCCCGAAACCCGGCTTGAGATGCGTCCCCCAAAATAAATGCACAGGTTGGGGCTCAGATTTTATGGTCCAGGAGGAGTTTGATGTCGATGCCCTGCGACGAAAGATGTGCGGCACAACTGTGAAAAGAGTCATGTTGCGTTGAAGTGTAATTAATGCCGTGGGTCCTTGAAAGATGAGAAAAAACTATCGGAGACACTTGTCAGCTTTACCATGGGGTGCACTGCGAGAAGCTACATTACCTTGCCTGCCCCTTGAACCGAAACTGCCGCAAGCAACTTGCAGCAGTTTGAGTTGTCCGTTCCAGAACTTCTACAGGGACTCATGTAGCATACCAGCAATTTCAGGAATCTTGAGGGATAAAGCGCGATGAGGCTTCTGGGATGTCCTGAGGAGCCGTTAAGCATGCCCCTTGGGGTTTCAGGAAGCCATGCATCTTCTTGAGTCACGTCTGGCCTGTAGAACCTCTGCAGGGCCCGACGGAGACAGACTCGCCGTGGCCTTTTTCTGGAAGTAAATGTCTCACTCCGTAAACCATACCATCTCAGAAAATCATGCTTGAGTGCAAATCCTGTAAACTGTCTCTAGCTGTTGTGACGTCACTTTGGAGGACTTCCTTCCTGCGTGAACTGCATAGCAAAAAGGGGAAAAGCGCAAATCAAAAGCTTCGCCAACTTGCAATACATCTAGAAAGGGTAGCGGATCCCTTGCACTTGCAGCTGAAGGCGGCAAGCCTAATTTGGCCATCGTAAACCTGACAAACTTACACCCTAAACTGTCCCCACACTTCGCTTTTGCGTCTCATGCTTGCTGCTCAATGACCACGACTCACGACCCCAATGTGGTCAACGGACACCTTTTTTTCATCTGCAGCATGATAAAGTCTTCCAGAACCTTGCAGGGGCATGTGCCAAAATCAGCTCTAGAGATTACAATATCAGGATGGTAGCAGCTTACTTGCTGCAGATGAAATGAAACCGGTTCAAGCCCTCAGCCAACCAGGATCCAGGACGCATGATCCTGTAACTCGCAGACTCTTATTTCACTCAGACCCCATCAAAGAAACTCCTCTGACTGAAAACCCTGTGCAACCGCCCCCACCTCCCCCCCTGGTAATTACCAGGTACCGTGATCATGAATTTCGACTCCCACCAGGTATCAACGACACATTTGCTGAAGATCGAGGTTTCTCAGTGAAGTGGTACCCTTAGGCCTTAGGGATTCTGGAAATTTGCCAGTATCTTTTTAGGGTGGTACTCAAGTCAAGGGGCTTTGCAAAGGGATGATAGAAGTCAACACTCACTCAAAGCAAACGTGCGATAATTTGGGTAATGTAACGAAAGGAACCTTACGTTGTGGCTCACCTATAGCATGGCCTCCCCTCGCAACTGGGCTCCAGGATGGTGGCATGGAGGACGAGCTCAGAAGAGGTACTCAATCTTAGAACCTTCGAGCTGGACGGACTTGATGATGACGGAAATTTTCTCATGCTGCCCGACACGGATGAAGCTTGGGTTTCCGAATCCCTGGTGTTGGTATAGATCAATGGGAATGGTAATGTCACGATCAACTGAATCCACAGAAATTGTAGCGCAGACTCTGGCTTTTGCAGAGCGGGCCAGGTAAAGGGCCGCCCGTCCGACCGGTGAATCAGATGCACCCTGCGGATAGTACTGCAACCAGATTTTGATGCCCAGCCCCGGCAAATAGACCTTTGGGCTGTTTTTAACCTGACCCCTCTGAAAGGCCGAGAAATCTTCTGAAGATAAATCCCAAGTGAAGCCACGGACAGCTGTCAGCACTTTGCTATTCTCAAGTTCCTTCTTCATGGAGGCAGCCTCGATTTTCAGGTCACTGATTTCTTTGTCGAGAGAGTTGATTCTTTCGTTCTGCTCTTCGATTGTTTCCTGCTGTCCTTCGAGCTGCTCCATCATTTCCTGCTGCCCTGCCAGCTGCTCCCTCAACTCTTCACAGGTTCTGCTAGCGTAGGCACAGCTCTCAACGACCCCATGCGCAGCATCTGGATTCCGACGATCCATGTTGTATGCTAGAATGTAACTGCTCTGCGCTTCTTCCTTGCTCCCACAGGCATCAAAGGCCTCCGCAGCGATGACGGCAACCTTGGCACCATCCTCAGGCCTACCTTCTTCCTGCAACTGGTTGGCGAGAGTTACACAAGATGCTGGCTCCAAGACCCGAACATGCTCTGCAGCAAGCGACAGCTTTGACAGCAACTTCTTTGGCACTTGGTTGTGCTCAAAGAAGAGCAGTTTCAACAGGACATCTTCCTTGTCCAGCGTTCCACCTTCCAAATGCTGAAGCAGTAGCTTTAGCAAAGCGCCTCGAACATCAGAATTTTCCTCATCAGCCATAAAAGCTTCAATCAAGAGTGGCTCCTGCGCAGAAGGATCTGATTCACAGCGCCTTGCCTGCTCCCACAACAGCGACGCCAATGAGCATGAGCATGTTTGCGTGTCAAATGCGAGGCCGAAGTCGCACTTGAACACTTCCAAGGCAAGGGCTGCTGCATCCAGCGGCGTTTTCAACAGCGACACGGCGCTTGCCAGCAGCGAGTCGGGAAGCGCCGGCAGGTCAACCACCACTTTGCCGTGGACCGCTGCCAGGACCAATGCAGCCCCTCCCAGCCAAACTCCAGGGTCAGCTGATGAACCAAGCTCAAGTGCAAACTTCCACAGCGCCTCTGCGCCATCAGTAGTCTGCCAGCGCGCTGCCAATCTGGTCGCGCACTCCTTGTCCAAGACCTGGGATTGCAAAACAGAGGGTCTCTTTTTTTGGAGTCTCTTCAATAAAGATTCAAGGCAGACCCCTGTGATTTTCACATCTCCCACCTCATGGCAAGGGAGCAGAGGTGGCCGCCGTGCCGTGGCTTGAAAGCCTTGCTGGTGGTTGGCAGGACATGGGTCCCCAATATACTGTATAGTAGTTTCCATTTTCTTTTCCATTATGCATATGTGGCCCCTATATACTATATAGTAGTTTCCATTTTACTCCAAAGTAGCCCCTACGTACTCCCCTGTTAACGAAGAATCGTTTCAAGATCTCATTCCCTCATTCGCTTGCAAAACATTAAGCCTCAAGCCCACGGCATAGACGGGGGCACTGCCTTTTCCATTCCTTCATTCCCCACTACGGTGGATACTAGATTTCTTGCAGGACCCAAAGTACCTTATATCTTGGGAGGTATGGTATTTCAGTACACCAAGGCCATGCAGAATTCTTAGTATCTACAATAATCACAAGTAAGAAGCAGGTGATGGTCTCCAAGCTGCAGGATGCGAGATGCGACCCACGTCCCATGCCTCGAAGTTGCTCAACAAGTCTCTGACTGTGCTGTCCCCTGGCTGATTCGACAACATGTCCAGAAGCTCCTTGACTGCCGTGCCACGCGACATTGCGGGCAAACTAGCTTTCAACTGCAGCAGCTTCACAAGCTTAGCTTGCGCACTGCGGTCCGGAAGCAGAGGTCGGATGAAGGACTCAGCCCTGTGCAGCAGTTTCAAAGCATGGCCACTGGGGACGGACGCAGCAACTGACATGATCTCCTGGACAGTCTTCTCCTTGTAGTTGATGATGGTTGCCTTCTTGTCCTGGTTAGGCACGACCTCGCCAGACTTTGACAGAGGCAAGTGGATAAGCAAGATGACTAGAGAGCAGGATGAATGCCTCGTGGACCATACACACCGGCAAGCTTTCAAGCCACACACCTGTGTGATGATAGCTGCATTATCACGGCGCGGAGTTGCAACGATGGAAGGACAGCGCCTTTGATACTTCATATTTCTTATCATGCAGAGCTTGCTATTTGCCAACTGCTTCAACTCTAGACGCTTTCTGCTCGCAGATAATATATCCCTATCCTATGCCTGCACCCGCCTCCCAAAAGAAGGCAAATGTAGTCATTATCAGCCACGGTGGACCCTAATATACTCCCCTATATAACCCCCGATACCACACCCTATATAACCCCCCCCTTAACCATTTTCGACTACACTTGAACCCCCGAAGGTATGTAAACTGATTGCCTTTTGGACCGTTTTTAGGGAGGTTGTGGCTATTATCTTTGCTACTTTTGGGGCCCAGGTAATATATCACCGCCTTTAACCATAAACCCTAAACCCTAAACCCTAGATAGTACGTTTCAGCCAAGTTGCCCTGCTCCCCATTTCCGCGTTAGTCTTCGGGCTCCGGGGTCGGCGCTGAAGGGCCTCTGCAATGGCTTCCCTCTCATAGGTGAAACCATCCTGCCAACCATGTTGAGGGTTTAGGGTTTAGGGTTTAGGATTTAGGGTCTAGGGTCTGGGGTTGAGTGGTTTGCAGCCTTCTAGGTTCAGGGATCAAGGTTGAGGGCTTCAGGGGCAGGGCTTAGGGTGACATGGTTGGCCGTTGACTTACTCGTTCTTAGTAGGGGATCAGGGAACATATGTTCTATGGAGACTGTATAGGGGTTATATTCCCTTATTCCCTACTAAGAACCTGTAAGTTAAGGGCTTCCGGCCTTGAGGACTCTGAAGCCTGAGCCCTCTAGATTCTGGGTTACTGGCTTGGTGTAAGGATTGTGATATGCTGTAGTGGGTTCTCAAATTGAGCTATAGTCTAAACTCCTCAAAGGGGGTAGTATAGGGGATGAAAAAAGGGAGTACTATAGGAGTTATTAAAGTGGGATGCTAGGAATTTAGACTGTGGCTCAAATGAGGGAGGCCCTCAGGGCCCTGAAAAAGAGATGCGGATTGCAAGGAGACTGTAAGCGTGCCTGTAAGGATTCTGTTGGGATTGCTTTGACAAAGCCGGATGCTGCGTGAAAGTCAAGGCGTGCGCTGCAGGGTGGATGGTTTATATTGATGACTGTTGGGTCAGGGACGGTGTGCTGCTTAGGGTTGAGGGCTTAGAGTGCAGTAGTGCTGTCAATAGAGCAGTCTGGGGCCAGCCCCACAAGGATTGTTATTCGCCAGGGGAAAACTTTGTATCTTTCAATCTTCAACAGTAACATAGCCCCCATAGCCCCGCAACTTCGCTGTGGTCCGGAAGGCATCTGAACCGATAAGGGTTGATTAGCCTGGAGGAGCGGGGAGGGGTTACCAACTAGTCACCGAAGTGCAAGGGAGAAGTCTTGGAAAATTAGCTCTGACTACTGCGAACCTCCGAATCCTGCCAACCGTGCGAAGATTTCTACATACAGTGCGTGCATGATCAACACCAGTAGTTTCTGGACTGTGCTTCTACAGCGAGTAATTTTGCTCCAGATAGGTGCATATGAACCAAGGTTCACACGCATGACTGCTTCAAACTGCAGATTGAAACATGCCGTGCAGGAAGCATACAAGCCCGAGGCCAATCCCCTGAAACCCTGGGCCCTTTACCTTAAACCTCTTTACACCAACATGCTTCAAGCACCCTGACCCAAAGTTTGGACCATGCTCCCGCAACCCCACGGCCCATCCACACCACCCAAACGGATACCGGCAGCGCAAGACAATCTGCCGCTCTAGTCTTCTCGCCCAGTACACAACGGCTGCACCCCTCTGTTTGAAATGACCCGGAGTATACTTGGAGGGTCATGGGGACTTAGTAAGTAGGTTAGTTCTGGGGATAATTGGGGTTATTACATGGATTCTCGGGGTTATTCACCTACTTACTACGTCATAACGCTCCAAGTAATATAACCACCACGAAGCCGCTGGGGCTACGGCTGGGGCCGGGATTGTAAGTTCCTGCTTCTGCGTCCTACTTTAAGGCATGGTTCGTCAGACAGTGCAAGGCGCTGTCCTCGGCAACCACCGGATGCTCCATCCTTACTACTCCCGGGAAAGCGGCATTTAAAAAAAAACTTACTGGTTGTTAGTAGGGACTAAGAGAACATATTGTATAGGTATTATATAAGGATGATATCCCCTTATTCCCTACTGACAACCAGTAGGTCATTCTCAAATGCAGATGCTTAAGAGACCACCATGCCCTCAAGATGAGATTCAGGAGGAGCGTTTCTTGAGTGCCGGGTGCCCCATGATCACCACATAACCGCGGTCCCTTAGCGCACCCCATTTTTGAGACACGTTCCAAAGTGCAAACCTGTGTGTATGCATGTATACCCTACGGGCCTCTTCCTGCCTAATCATACAACACCACCAAGCACATACCATGAGTTTGAGAAATGAAGCCAGACACTGGAATTTCTGGTTCTTAGTGGACTTATTGGTTCTTAGTAGGGAATCAGGGACCACTTTTTATAGGCAGTATGTAGGGATTATATTCCCTACAAACGACCAGTAAGGATATGAAGCGACACAGATGGGTAGTTCCCAAAATTAGAGTCCCATTTATAATCACCCATATACAGCCTCCTTTAAGGGAGTTTGGACTATAATGTTGAGAGGTGTAACCTAGGACCTAAACCCTAAATCCTAAACCCTAAACCCAAAACCCTAAAACTCCCCATAGAATCCCCTATAAATCACCCTTTGAGGAGTGTTGATGAAGCGAGACACATGGATTGCAGGATTGGGCAGATGAACTCCTCTGGATCTGAAAGCAGCCGGTTCACCTCTGCAGCACACGAACTCAGGATTCAAGGCAAGGGCTTGGTGGGCTAGGGGCTTTAGAGTTCAGGGTTGAGGCTTCAGGGTCGAGGAGCTTAGGATTAAGGATGCCAAAAACCCTAAAGACGTTTTTCTCAAGGGTTTCAGGTTCAGGGTTTCGCATTAAGGGTTTCGGGTTTGGGGAAGATTTTGTTCAGCAAGGTGGGAATCGTACTGTCTCAAAACGCTACACACCATGGGCTGTGTAGTCTAAACTCATTAAAGGGGATAACATGTGTGATTCTATAAGGGACAACTATAAAGGTTATTAACGGGGATACTGGGAGTTAAGACTATGGCTCATTTGGGTTGTTCTCGAAATTATAGGCCGCTTCTGACTATAGATCATATTACGGCACCTTATATTGAGGGGTACCAAAATGAGACCCTAATTTGGGAACTACTCGGCGCACTGCTCCTGAGACGGGGGAAAGCTTAGCTCAATATCTGAAAGCTAAAGCAAGCACCTGCATTTAGAATAGAGTTTTGAACTTCCAGGGTCACGGGCCTAGGACCAGAAATGTCCATAACGCAGAAGATAGATGTTCCACTAAATCCTTTACGCAATTCAAATCCTGCATTGCCCTCAATACCCTACCCTTGGGAATTATGGGACTAGGGTCTGCTAAAGCCATGCAGGATTTTGAGTATCAACGGCAGTTGGGGGATACAGGGGGTAGGAAGTGTAAATGGACTACTTGGGGGCATACCCATTGGAGCTACACAGTTTAATGGACATGGGTTGCTTACTAGGGACTATAGTAGAGACTACACTGAACTACCAAAGGATTTCTATGTCCACTGTTAGGGCCCCTTACTAAGGCTAAAATTAACAGCAGCTCAATTTGAAGCTTTGGAACTCCAGCAAAGGCCAGGTCAGCAGGACTTTCTCTACCATGCTTGTTTTAGGGGTTCAGGAATTAGGGTTCAGGGCTAGGGTTCAGGATTCAGAGTTTGGGGGTCCAAGTTTGGGTTTGGGTTAAGGGCGAAAGGTTTGGCACTCAAGAGGGAGTTTTTCAAAACAGGACTACGCTGTAGGAACTTCAGGGATGTGTTGAGTCTAGAAGGACATATTAAGGTCCCTCATGTTCAGGAACCTCCCAATTTCTTGACACCAATTCCCCAAATTCTAAACTCTAAACCCGCAAACGTGGCCTGCCCTTCGCTGTTTCACAGCTCAGGGCTCAGGGTTGAGGGTTTATGGCTTTTGGGTTGTTTATGGCTTTTGGGTTTAGGGTCTAGGGTTTTCGGGTTTGGGGTTTGGAGTCTGGGGTCTAGGGTTTAAGATTCAGGGTTCAGTGTTTGGGGCTCCATAGGGTTTAGGGCTTAGAGCCGCTCATCCGGACTACGAAAGGTCAGCAAGGCGACAGAAAAGCTACGACAAAGATTCAACCAACCTGGTTGCAGCCGGGGCTTCATGGGCTTGAGGCTGACAGTTAGGGATTAGGGCTTAGGATTCAGGATTTAGTGCTTAGGGATTAGGAATTAGGGTTTAGGGTTTTGCGTTCAACTAGAAGAAGTGAGCAAGTGGATCGGTTGGCACCGTTCCGCACTTCTGTTTCGTCTTACAGTACCGTATTTGTGGTGTACACCCTCATGCTTTGACTGCCTAAGCATTCGGAGACATCGTGACCTCTTCCAAAGAAAAGACAACACCCCGATGTTGAGGGACCATGCGTTCTCAGCTTGTATCTAGCATTATTGTTGGTTATTCAAGGATTGACAGACTATCGCGATCACCTACGGCTGCCACACACGTTCTTTCACCGTAGCCACCTCTCTCCTCAGCATCTGCTACAGTACTGGCTACAATGGCAACACTCCTGCTGACATATCCTTCAGACCCGAAACCCTAACGGAAAGAATAGCTTAGAAGCCTTGACAATTACGTAATGTTGGGTAGTCAATAATTCATAAATTGGTTCGGGATAGAGCGAACTTTCGTCCCAAACGGAGTAAGGAAGAGGATACAGAATAGAGCGAACTTTGGCACCGTACGGAATAATAGCAAGCACAAACGGAATAGTGGCACGCTTTGACCTGGAACCCCCAACACAGAAAAGGATAGAAACAGGAGAGAAGAGAAGCCAGCCATGTCTCTAAGCCCTAAACCCTAAACCCTCTACTTACTGGGGATTAGTAGGGAATGAGGGAATATTTTCTAACTATGGGGATTCTATGGGGATTATGTCCCCTCATATTCCCTACTAACCACCAGTAAGCCTTAGCAACTCCAGGAACCCTTGGGTCGAAGAGCTCTGAGCCCAAGCGCCGAGCCCTCAACAATCCTGCCTTTTGAATTCCGCCAGGACCCAGCACCCCAAAGCTTTTCCAGAACTTGATTGGAAAGCCCCTAGTATGTAGAATTGTCATTTTGTTGGGGGGGTGGTGTGTATCTACAGAATCCCGCTCATTACAAGTATTCTCCCCTTTGAATGTTTTATATAACTACAGTCCATACCCCGAAACCCCATTCAAGTTCCTTTGGTCTCTACATTAAGCCCTTTTAACGTAGATGTCTTGCACTCCGCGCCAACGAACGTCTACACCACGGCACCAGAGAATCCACACCTTCCTCCTCGACCGAAATTGCGTCAGTCAGCATTCTGGGGGCGCAATCCTGACGAGGATAATAACAGCTCGGACCTTCCCTCAACATCAACTTAGTCCCTATTACCCCAAGAACAAATCAACAGAGCTTCCCCCAAGTCTACCCCCAATGCTAAAATCCAGAGTATAAGGAACCCCAAAAAGGGGTCGTCTATTTTTAGGACGCCCATCCCCCAAAAAGTATAGCAACGGAATCTGAAGGTGAACTCAGTCAGCGGGCCTACTTTGAGGTGGAGAGTTATCCTAACCCCGTCAGATGTGTAGTGATATCCCAACTGGAACCGTTCCAAGGGCTCTTAGGGGACTTTTACTTGGGTGTACGTAAAGTACAATTACAAGCCGGTGTCATTACCCTGAACCTCCAAGTCGGTTCCAGGTTGTCGTCTGGGACGGGTGGACTTTAAACTCCGAAAACCGACATTCTTGCCCAATCACATACCTCTACTACAATAAGAGTATAGGGGGTACCCTTCTATGGCTGCCAAAGTGTCCCTCGTGGGTGGGGGGAGCGCCCTCAAACCCTAAAGCCTTGACCATAAGCCCTAGGCCATTAAGCCAACTCCTAAACCATGCTCCTGTCCGCCGAAGTCCGTGCGCCGCCGCTTCAAAAATCCAGCGATGACTTCATCCGCACTGAGACCTAGATACCTCGGGTCTAGGTATGAGGGTACAGCGGAAGGACATACTAACAGTTTGGGTTTGGGTTTAAAGTTCAGGGTTTGGCGTTGAAGGTTGGGGTGTACAAGGTTTATAGGCTTCAGTAGTGGGCATTGAGGCCCAGATACCTCAGACATGGAAGTGAATTCTCCCTAAACCCTAAACTCTAAAAAGGGCGGCCCTGAGGACTCTAGGAATACATGCGCATTCGAAAGAAATATGAGGCTGGCGATCAGGCTTAAGCTGAATTACGACGAACCTCTAAAGTGCATAATGGTAAGGGCACTAAGCCCCAGTTCACAGATGCCCTCCCCCTGGCAGTAGGGATGCAACATTTGCAAGGTTGCCAGCTTTGGAGTCTCTGAACGTCGTGAATGCCTCGCTAGGCGGGCGGTTACAACAAACTCGGCAGACGTCCTTTTGCCGTCTCGGACCTGCTCAGGATACTCATCCCTAAAGAAAACAGATCATCTGCTGTGATGCATACGAGGAATATAGGCAGGAAACACTACCAGTAGGTGCACAGGACATGTTCAGGCCCCTCATTTTCTGAAGTTCACTCTAGAAGCCCCAAATATTTTGAGATAGCTACCTGATGCTGCTCGTTGGGGCTCTTCCAGGCTCACGGTTTGTAAGTATTAGTATAGATCCCCCACGATGTGGGATTTTCGGTAAACGGTATGCTTTTCCCTTTGTACACCGAACCATTAGCAAAGCCCAACCCGAAGCTCAGTTCTTCAGGCCCAACTCCGCGCAATCTATACTGGCAGGTTTGATCTAGGGTACAGGGCTTTAGTATTTTCAGCCTTCAGGGGAAGTGCTCCTTATTGTGCGCCTGTTAGGGTTCTGGTTGTTCCCTTCCTCCCACTGTGGAGAGCTAGGGCGAACCGATGCCTGAAACCAAAGCCTCCTCAATTTGACCTAAGCCCTGAGCTCTAATCTTACAGCC